TAAAACTTTTCCAACTCCGGCAGCTGCTGTGTTTGCAGTGTGTATGCAGCTCGTTTGCAGCGCGTTCAGCATATTAGATGCTTCAGCTGCTCAGACGCGCTGCTCCTGCTGCTCAAAACGCGCTGCGGGACGTTTTGCTGCTCCTTGATGCGCGTCAACCATTGACCTTGCATGTGAACTAGCGGCTTCTGCTGCCTTTGCTGCTTTAGGTGTGAACGTAGCATCAGGGTTTCCGCAGGTCATTAAAAATCACTAAAAGTCACTCAATTATAATTTTTTTAATTAAGGCCTTAATTGGCATTAAAATTAATTAAATGTAATTATCCTGCCATTTAAAATGCTTTATTTAGAAAAAAAAAACCTTTTTTAAAACCGTTTTTTTCGGTTTTTTCGGTTTTACTTGTTTCGTTGGTTTTGGGGGGGACTTGTTTCTGTTTGTTGGGGGGGCGGAAAAGGTTCCGGATTGGGAAAATGCAAATTTAAACAAAAGTGGCTGGAATGTTGGTGGCATTAAAATTATTTGTTAGAGCATTAAAAAGCATTAAATAGAGTTACTCATTCCTGTATAAACCCTGAAAATGGGGGCTGTCTCTGGAAATAGGGGCCGTCTGATCAATGTAGGCTGAATGTTTGTTTTGTTATACTGATCAAACACGTTCTTAGCAGCTCAAAATAATCTGCTACAGTTTTGTTCTCTATTAAATATGACAAAGTATTAAAATGTAATTTTCCTAATATCTTTTTATACTGTTTGACTTTAAAAGATTGATATTTGGTTTAATAGTTAATGTTTGTTTTCCCTAACCTGAAGTAAATGACAGTAACATCATTAAAAGTATTATCATTAAACAGAGCAATGAAAAAGTTTTATTCTCACAGCGGAAAGCAGTCATTTTATATGAGTTAGAAACCCCTGCTCTAATTTAATCTTAATTTACCATCTTTGATGTCATGCAATGCTTTAAAAAAGTATGTTTCCCCCTTTGACAGTTTTAATCTGT